CCCAACTCCTATTCCTAAGCCACACATTCCTCCAGCTGTGCTCTATCCGAAGCAGTTTAATGCCTGATGTCTATCTCCATATGGAGCTCTGTTTTACCATGAGGCCTTTGGAAAATGATTTTCTTTCTTTTTTGTTATTTATTTATTTATTTATATCTCTTTGAAACAGATGTCAGCCAAAGCTCCCAGCCCAAAGGGCAGGTTCAAGGCTTCGAGATGGGTCTGAATGTCCCTTTAACATCATTCCCTCTAATACCCCAATATACCTCAAGTCATTACCCTGTTTTTATAAGACGTTCTGAACCATATGTTCGGGAACTAATTAGGCATACAATTCAAGCCCTGGGATCAGGTGGCACTCTGTTGAAATATCTTAACCTTTCATGATTATCTTAATTTAGAGAAAATTCAAAACACATTCGGAAGTCTCAGAAAATGAAGCAAGTAGGAATTTACTGGCTGCTTTTCTTGATGTTAGGATCGTTTCTTTACAAGCGCAGCCCAGGTCTCCCGGGAAATTGTCAGGACTCACTCACAGCTTGCAGAGATATGACGGGGACTAGGCCTCCGTGACTTTTTCCAGCTTGTGTCGAGCAATGCGCAGTTCCCAGCTCCACTGTCATCCATGCATGAGACAGAAGGAAGACTAAAAGAGTGGGAACAGCGCTTGGGAGCTTTACCTCCTTTTCTGATAAGGCATACAATACATTGATGAGAAATATCCCTGTAGTCTGTATTGTCCGGGAAGATTCATAACCTGCACTCACAGAACTATTTTCCCATTGGCTGTGGGGAATGACAGATAGGAGATTCTATATATGGAATTCTAAATCCCAGGTTTGTTCCGGAACCTCTAGGAGGGCTGGGGTTCTTGTATCCTTTGCCTCTGTGTGGTGTGACTGCAATGTATATCACAACGTATATCAATGTATACCACAAGTTCTTTGAGCTGTTTTCTGGACCCATCTTTCCAGAGGTCTGCTCTGTATAGCCTATGCTTTAAAGAACTCCTGACAATAGAGGCCCAGATAGTGCTGGATGACTGGGTCCGCTCCCAAAAGCCACTCCTTTTTGATGTTCCTTTGACAGTTAAACTTGTGGAATAAAGTTTCCAGCCAAAGTACCTGGTCAAATTTAAATTTCTGATAGGTATGCGTAAGTCCTTTTATAACTCCAAGTGTATTCTAAGTACAGAAAAAGAGACGATTCCACCAAATAACTGCTGGCTACAATTCTAAATCTCAGGTTAACTGGGAATCTTGTATTTTATTTGTTAGGTCTTGTAGATAAACTTCAAGATACAGTCTAATGGAGATGGTAAGTTTTGAGGTTGCCAACAAGAAGCAAAATTGAATCAGACCCTGCACTGGTGATAATTCCTCGTAGACCTCAACCCAGCTCCATGAAGTAGGGCCTGTGAGTGACCCGAAGCTCAGAGATGTCAAGTGACTCCCCTAAAGTTTCCCATCTGCATGGCTAGCCCAGCTTTGCTAGACTTCAAAGCCAGGACCCCTTCGATGCTACCCCAGTGCCAAGCTGATGGTTATCTTTCCTGAGTTCTCATTTTCCCAGCTTGCTCTGGCTCCTCTCAACTTCTTCCCCATTTTTCCCCCCCACAAATGTTCAAGGAGAGATTCACTCCCGTCAGATCAATGTCACTGTTGTAATGAAAACCACCACCCAAGCCCACGGAGGACGAGGTCTGTGAACCCTAATGAGAATGGTTCCGATTATGTAGAAAGCAACCTCGTGGTTATTCTAATGTTACAAGTAAATATAAAACATTTAGAAATACTTGGCCTGGCCTTTTTTTTAAGTACAGATGTCTGAGTCTCTGCCAGTTTGTTGTTAAAATTGCTACGGTGGTTGGGTACAAAGATTGCTGTGGAAATAAAAGCTGATGCTCTCCGGACACCTGTTTTGACTTTGCAGAGAACCTGGTGATGATGAGGTCAGAGTGGCTCTCGCTCAGAACTCCGATATTCACAACCCAGTCTCTGCTCTGCTGAAGAATCACGTGGCGCGGCCATTGTCCCCTGAACCTCCAGCCTCAGCTACTGCCATCCTTTCCCTCACTCTCCAGGGCATCTTCCAACTCACCCTGCATGTGCACTTGCCAGACCCTTGGTTAGGGGCTCGTCCCCTGCTCTTGTTCTGGCTGGTAGCTCCTCTTCCTCCCCCATCTTCTCCAGCTCCAGTCACGGATGTTACACGGCTCCATTGGATTCCTTTATTTCCTGCAACTCTCTGACCCCCTCTTCTTTACTTCAAGTCTTGCCACCAGAAGGTAAACTCTACCAAGGTGGGGACCCTAATGTTGTGCCCATCTGCTTTGTCACCCAACACCCAAGGCAGCGTAGAGTAGATACAAGTTGCTCCGTAAACATTTGCTGAACAAGTGATCCATCCGGGCACCCAATGTCCTGCACTCCTCATCTCTTCTGAGGTCATATGGGGAAGTAACACCCTCCATACACCCACCCTCCACACACCGCACTACTCACTGAGAACCCCTCCTCCAAAGAGGAGATGCCGTATTTCTGGGGGTGTGCTCAGAACCACATCAGGGGACTCCTCGTCGCAACAGGATTTCCCTACGGTAACAGGTTAAGCAGAAGTTTCAAGGTTCACAGGCATCAGTGTGACCCTAATAATCTTCCCATTGCAAGCGGATGTGTAGCTGAGACATGCATGCAGAATGCAGGCACTGCTGAACAACTTTGCTTGCTCCGTGCAGGTCCTTCCCTCGCTGCAGTGGTTCCTCTCTGTGCAGCTGCCTGCCATTGGTCCTTAATATTTTATTGCACACATGCTGTGTTTCCTCCACGTTGTCCCCTCCCTGCCTGTTATCTGGCTATAGAGAGCACCCTGCCCTGACAGCACACCCTCAGACACTCGTCAGACATCCAGCCTAACATGGAGGTCACCATCTTTCCCTTCCAGTCCTGCTTTGGCTGCTGCTTCTGTCACCCTGGAACGCCTTTGTTCTTTGTCCTCATCGCCTTCTGCATGAGTCTGATTTTGGGATGCTTTGAGAGAAAGTGCTGGGCTCGTTCCTCTCTCCCCAACAGAGTGCTGTTTGCTAATGTTGTTGAACTGGATACAGGATCTCATAACTTCAAGTCTTCAGCTCTGAGCCTAACACTGCAGTGCCCGGTGCTATGGGTGATAAAGCTATACCTTCCCTACTCCACAGGGAGAGGTAACATGGTTCAACATGGCTACTGGATCAGGCACTCTAGTGTGTGTGAGAGAGAGAGAGAGAGACAGAGAGAGAGAGACAGACAGAGAGAGAGAGAGAGAGAGAGAGAGAGAGAGAGAGAGAGAAAGAGAGAGAGAGAACAAGTCCCACCCTGTATTGTAAATGTGGAGGACAGAGGACAATTTGCAGGAGGAGGTTCTCTCTTTTCATTACGTGGGTTCTGAGGATGAATTCAGATCATAATGCTTGGTTGCAAGCACCCTTACCACTGAGCCATTTCTCTGGCCCCACCTTGTATTTTGAGATATGGTGTCTCTTTGGAACTCAAGAAGTAAGTTAGGCTGGCTAGTTCACAAGTCCCAGGCATCAATCAGACTGCCTGTCTGGCAGCTCTGGAATCTAAGCTGTACACTATCTTGTCTGACTTTTTACATGGGTTCTGGAGATGAACCCAGGTCTTCACACTTAAAGGGCAAGCTTTTCACCAATGAAGCACCCAAGCCAGTGTCTTCAGGACCTTGCTACTTTAAACACCCAGAAAACAGCTCTTTCCTTGTTTCATTCAGATGTTTCCCTGTTGGGTGACCAAAAGCCCAAGACAACTATTCTTAGGTTTTCTGCACACATATCTCCCATTCCTAACTTGCCTGAATATTTTATGCCAAAACTCAGTTCTCAAAATTAAAAAAAAAAATCCTTCAGAAATTCAATTGCTAACACTGAACACATGAGTTGGAGAACTGGAGATCTGGGTGGAAACAATACCCTGCTTTTGCCAGGTAAAAGCTGCCACGTACACGAACACGCATTAACATTTATCTCAGGCGGGTCGTAATTAGAGCATGCCACTCACACAGGGTCCTAAGCCACTTGGAAAAGATGGCAACAAGGCCTGGAGAATCACACACATCGGAAGCCAAGGATCCTCTCTTTCTGCGTGATCTCGGAGACTTAGAAGTATTCTGCAAGCAATGTGGCTTGGACCTGAAGCCTGGGGCATGCAACACAACTGAAGCCACAGGCTAAATTTAAACACGCCTCTTGGGTGCAGAATCTGGACCCATTATTGGAGACACAGATATGTGTCGAATTTCTACATCTGTGACACACGAGGTGGTAAGCTAAAATCTAGATGGCTGACAATCTTTCTAAGGCTACTATCTCAAATAGAGCCTTGGTTAGTGTTGGGTCCGTTGTCATGTTTTCAATGACAGATGACTGTCAAAGAGGGACTTCATAAAAACGTTTCCCCAAAGCCCTCGTGGAGGACAGCAGCAGGAGGAAACACTCCATCACTAGCAAAGTGACACTAATGTATTCTATTAGATTTGCTTATCATGTTAAAGAGCGTATTAAAAGGAAATGTTTGGAAATAGGATGCCAAGCCGTGGGGTGATGGATGGAGAATTCCTAATTTGGAAAAAATGTGCTAAGACGACATGATTGATGGGAGTGACCTACTTTATTTTATAAGAAAGTATGAGTTGCCTCAGGCCCATTGGTACACATATTTGGAAAAAGTTGTGTTTTTTTCCACATTAAGTTTTTATTAACATTTTCAAAAGAGCAAAAGCACCATAGAAGGATGTAAGTCTCGACTTGTCAATGCAGATGTGTTTGTAGTGACTTGCTTGCTGGAAGCACTTCCCAGCAAGGCACACTCCTTTTCAACAGAACACCTGATGGGGAGAAACGTAACACCCTTTCCCTGATAAAACTGACAAGGAAGGGGTATTATTTATTTGTTTATTTATTTTATTTGACGTTCAGACAGATCTTCCGGTCTTTGGGTACTTACAAGTAGTGATCCTGGAGTGATTTACATCTCCCCAGGGCTGAGACACTCTCTGCTGCAAGCAAAGATCATGGCTGAATTAACCATTTTGCTTCATCCTTAGATGTCAGACCCCAGAGCTGAGGATCAGTCTTCATTAAACAGATCTTCATTTGGGAAGCCGGAACCGGGACTCTACGGTTTATTTCAGGTTGTGGGCGGCCAGAACACAGCTGGTGGCAGACAGACACACTGCTACCATTGAAGTATTGTCGCCAGCTGGTTTGAGAACCCAGGAGACACCTTTGGTGTAGTGAAGAAGGCAGAATCTAAAGGAAAGATATCCATAGTAAGAAGTGGAGGTGGGAGACTTACGGCTTCTCATCTTTATTGAGGGCTTTTTATCAGCTTGTAACAAATGACTGGGATTGCTGGATGCCTCAGGTCCTAGAAATTTCACTTCTAGAAACTTCTTGTAAAGAAATCCTTTAAGAAGAGACACAGTGTATCAAAACTTAAATGATTTACCTGTTTCTGGTTGGAATGGCTGACCATGGAAAAGGCTACAATTCTCTCCCGAATTAGCCCATGCATTTTACACAATTCCAGTACAACTCATGATTAAAATTACTAGAAGACTGGTTCTAAAAATTATCTCAGAGAATAGATGCATGAGAATAGACAATTTTTCTAGAATGAAAAATGAGAGGAAACTGTCTTAATTGATTTAAAAATATATTCTATGTTCCATTTTGCTTGCTAACACGTCTGCTATTTCCACAACATTATTTACTAATGACTTTCACTTCACGATCCTGTAGTAGGTCAAAACAATAAAATACAAAATCAAAAAGGAGGTAGAGGCTGTTTTCCTACAATACAAAAAGGTTAGATGGTAGCAACATGGTATTGTAATAACTATTTACTTGTTTGAAGGGGAAGGAATATTTGTTTTGTGCTTTGTGACACATTCACAGAGAAAAAAATCCAAGTGCATTAAAGATGAACACACCGCTTACGGAAACAAAATGTACAGAACAGGTTATGGGGTGAAATAAGTCCAGAGTCTGAGAGTGAGGACTTAAGAAAAACAGACCTCAGACCCCATCGTAGGCACTTGCCGCCTGGTCTGACCACTTGAGTTTGATCCCGTGGTGGAGTGACAGAACTCCCCTTGCATCAGTCAATCAATCGATCGATCAGTCAGTAAGTATATTAAAAATGGAATCTTTTAGAATAAAAAGACCATCAAAAACCAGAGGCCCAGAGTCACAAAAACAGAGAGTAAAATAATAAATGAAACCAAAACAAGCGCCACCACTCCAAAAGAAATGTTGGAAAGATGGAAGCAAGCTTTCTACAAAGGAATATAGAGCAGCACTAAGCACAGCAGTGATCAAACAAGCTAAAACCAGAACAATACATTTTCACCCAATTCTAGTTTCTGTCTAACAATTGTGTGTGCATGTGTGTCTGTCTGTCTGTCTAACAGGTGTATGTATTCGTCAACAGTAACAGGATGGGAGAGGTACCTTTTAAGCTTGACTTTTGGCTCTTCTATCATATTTTTTCTGATCATATAATTGTTGTTGTCTTTGTTGTTGAGACAGGGTCTCATGCGGCTGGCTGGTTTCAACCTCACTCTGCAAGCCAAGGAACTACTGATCCTCCCTGTCTCCACCTCCTAAATGTTGGGTTTCTGGTGTTCACTGCCGCAACCAGCTTACATGATCCTGTGGCTAACCCAGGGCTTCCTGAATGCTGGGCAAGAACTCAACCAGCCACACCACTTTCTAGACTCTCATATATTATGTTTATAATAAAAACATTATACGCACATGGCCATTTTGCTTGGAAACGTAGGGCAACCTTTTCAGAGTGTCTGGCATAGAAGACCCAGAGCTGGGTCTACTGATGCTCAGGCTCTTGGGGTCTCCTAAGAGTCTAGTCTTTCTACTGAGAAGCTCACAAGACCACAGCATAGCCTCTCCACCAAAGGAGACCCCAGTGCCCTGAAAACCCCATTTCTGGAACACCTCACATAACTGACTTGATCAAGAGTGTTGTGGAGTCTCCTGCCACAGTCTAGGGTGACTTTTGGCCCCAACTCCTCACTTGGTGTCTGGTGTTTCTGGACTTTTGTTACTGGGATCAAGATTGGCTGGGCCAGTTCTCTGGTGCAAGGTTTGAAGACTCTCCCAGAGGGGACTGTCTTCTCTCAGGAACTGTCTACCCTCTACACACTTGTCAGTCAACTGCAGGTGTCTTTGGTTCCCATTTGTATCCCACAGTCTACTAAGGGCACAGACGGTGAGCATATGACAGTTTGCTGAATCAGTGGACTGGCCAGGGAGACCTTGAATCCTGTCTCTAGTCCTCTCAGATCTAACCCCAGGCCATTTCTGTTCCCACCCGGGGCTCCTTCTTCCCTTCTGCAATATAGGTGTGATGTAGTCCATAAGGACACGAAGCCATTTTGCATGGAGAGGAGCATTGCCAGGCTTCCTTTGAGAACTAAGGCACTGAAGATTAGAGGCCAAGAGTGATACAAATAGTAGTATTTGTCCTCTAGAACCGTGTAAGAGACAAACTTCTGGGCTTATCTCCAAGGGAGTTTGTATATGACTAAGTTGGATGGGAAGACCTACCCTAACTGTGGGTTGCCATCTTCCATAGAGTTCAAGACTAAATAAAAAGGAGAAAGCAAGCTGAGTACCAGCATTCTTCTCTGTCTGCCTCCTGACTGCCCCCATGATGATAGACTGTACCCTTGACTCTGAGCCAAAATAAATCTCTTCCTCTTTAAGGAGCTTTGGCCGAACACTTTGTCATAACCATGAGAAAAGAATCTAATGTGTGGGGAGATCCAGAGAAAGATTGTCGGGGAGTGTGGAGGAGCACATCCATGCTTCTGTTCTGGACTCATCTTCATCAGCTTCTGGCAGATGCCCAGGAATGAATGTATGGATGGATGGTGACATCTTCCCATAATTTTCCATCATTGAAATCAGAAGTGCGGGACTAAAAATGATTTTATAGGTCACACTGTCCTATGTCTTCTCTCAGAAACCCCGGAACAAGGTTGCAGAGACCACGCTTTAGAACAGGTTGTATGCGCTGGCTTGAAGACATCAGCCAAAGCTAGGAATAACTGACTTGGCATGGTTTGAGAGACAGGGGAACCCTGGGGAGAACTACCCCTCATCTAAAACCCACACCTTGATTCTTCCAGCCCAGTCACTCCTGGGAGAGGTCTGATACTCTTATAATGAAGTCATATCTATCACAAAGATCCTTGGGGCGACTTAGCTGAGAAATAATTACATGTGTCTCAGAACTGGGAGAGCAAGGGTTTCCATCCAACAATCCATGATGCTCTTTAAAAAAGGGTTTCACTATAAACTAAAGCTGGGGTGGGGAGAGGCAAGGTTTCCAAGCCAGGATGCCATGTTCTAATTCCTGCTTTTATGTCTTGGCATCATCTCATTTGTATGTCTATATCACTGTGTAGACATATTAAAGCAACATTAAAGGAGATTAAAAGAGGAACAACTGACATCCATAACCATACCGCTGTAACTAAACTGGTCACATGCCTGTTCCTCCTTGCTTAACTGCACAGGCAGGGCGTGAATGCTTTCTCATTGTCAGCAATTAAACAATCAAGAAGTACATGGCGTCACCAGGAAAGCTGCCCAGTTTACCGCGGACTCTCTAGGTCCCTTTTCCTGTACTAGGGTCACTCTGCTGCCAGCTTAGTGCAAATCTCTCCAGAACGTTTCTACACGCTTCCATCCAGGTCTGTGCATGCCGCTGGGCACGCAAGTGGTATTTGCATTAAGCATTAACAGAATCATATTATGTATTGTTCTAGAATAGTGGTTCTCAACCTTCTTAATGCTGTGGTCCTGTAATACAGATCCTCGTATTTTGATGACCCTCAACCATAAAATTATTTCTATTGCTACTTCGTAACTCTAAATTTGCTACTGTTTTGAATAGTAATGTAAATATCTGTGTTTTCTGATGGTCTTCGGTGACCCCTCTGAAAGGGTCATTCAACCCACAAAGGGGTTGTGGCCCACAGGTTGAGAATGCTGTTCTAGTGCTTGCTTTTTCTTCCCTTTAATCGGTCTTAGAGATCTTCCCATGATACTTCAGAAAGCTACTTCCATTTTCTGTCTTAAGGAAGGATCCTTACTGTTCATGGAAAATCTCCCATTAGTGGATATGTAAGTTGCTTTTACATTTTCAGTCTCTGAAACTGACTCCATGGATCCTGCAGCCTTGAGCTTTCTGCTTCTCTGCCAGAGCCGGTCCTTCATGAAGTCATCCCACTGATCTGCTGTAGAAAGTCATGAAGAAATTTCTCCTCTTACATTTCCAGTGCCCAGAACTGTGCCTCATGCAGCACTTTTATGCAGGAAGCATTTGCTGAATAAATAATCGACCATTAGCAGGAAGATATAGTTGCAAACTACTTTTACAGCTGATGCTTGTCAGAGGCCCACAGCTTACAAAGACATTTTGATTTCCTAATCATAACCAGCCCTCAGAACTACCTTATGAGGTCATGACTTCCTGATGAACTGTGGCCTGAAGTCAGGGGTTGGGAGGCAAGGGTCAAGGTTCAAATCCTTGTCCTGAGATTTCCTGCGTCAATCCTTGGGGAATCTACTTAACCTTTATGGGCTCCAATTACTATTTTTCAAGTATTTATTACTATTATAATTTTGTGTGTACAGTCTCTGATTCTCTCTGTCTCTGTCTCTCTCTGTGTGTATGTATGTATGCACACAAACTACAATGCCCATGTAGAGGTCAGAGGATGGGCTTGGGTATCGGTCCTTCCCTTGTTTGAGGCAGTTTCTCTAGCTGTTTTCCTTTATGCTGCATTTTCCAGGCTAGCTGACCTGTGAGTTTCCTGTGGGTTCTCCTGTGTCTGCATCCCATGTTTCTGTCGGAGAGCTGGGATGAGAGACAGGTACCACCACATCCAGTTTTTATATTGGTTGTTCCAAGGATTCAAACTCAGGTCATCAGGTTTGTGCTGAAGGGTTTTTATGGGATAAGGCAGCTCCCTGGTCCCAGTCCTAATTTTTAAATACGCAAAATAGGGAGGGCGAACACACAGATACACACATAACATACATGTACACACATATACACATATGTACACATACATACACACACCACACTCTTTCCCTTGAAAGAGACGCATGATATTTAAATGTGACATTCTATACCAACTACCTCATGCCCAAAAAACTCAATAAATAATTGATTCCCTTTGTCCCTTGTCCCACAAGTCCTTTCCACCTGCCTAGAG